TGTTGGTTTTAAATGTTGATTAATGGCTACAAGGAGCTTTTTTGCATGCATTTTCTTTCTCTGTTGTCAGAAGATGTGCCGCATTTAAACATGATACGTACAATTTGTTCTTCATTAGAGTAGCTAATTATTTGAATATTAATTCCACTATCATTCCTTTCTGCTTCTCTCATTTGTGAAATATTATCACTGGTATAAGTCTGCATTGAGCATTGGTTTCCAATTTTTGTGCTGACTAAATTGAACAATTATGATGTGAGCTCATAATAGCACCATTAACACACAATGGCTTGCAAAAATAAATGCCAAAGTTGAAAATGTGTGTGTATTTAAAGATATCAAATAGCATAAATGAGCTCCCAAGCTAAAATGGTACACATTCAGAGGTTTATTAAATTAAAGCCAAAACTCGATTTGTGGGCTTTTTTTTTTTTTTTTACTAAATTTAAGTTAACAGGATTTTTTATTTAAGTGGTGCAGCGGTCACGGGGGTGGAGGGAGTGGGGGGGGGTTGAGGAATGCTCAGTAAAATAACACTGCAATACTATTAAGGTTAAAAGAATGCTTAAAATAATAGAACTGGATCAACTACGAAGAGAAGCTGGTTAACTGTTAAAATTGTGATTGCTCCATAGTTGCCATGTGAATGTATGACAAGGAGATAATGAGGATTATTTGCAAAGATTAGACTTGAGAACAAGAACTTGGACACCTACTACAAATTATTCTCCCTGCAAAGGACAGTTCAAGTAAAGGTATGTGAAAATAAAATTAAATTAATTTGCTAATATTCAAGTTAGAAGGATCTCACTACGAGTTATTAAGCTATGCTGGATCATTTGTTGAGCATGTCAAGGTCCAAGTACAGACTTCAACAATGGAGCAACAAATAGGTCTTCCTATAATCAAGATTTTGTGATGCATTTGGTAGGGTGTTTGCAATTTGTTTGCTATTTACTGGGAAGACCATCAGGACTTACCTGAATTAAAAATGAAGATAGCATACTTTACTCCTATGACTAATTTAATGTTATCTTGAAATGCATTTTCTTTTTAGTTTTAACAATTTTAACAAGCCTGGTATCTTTAAGAGAACCAAGCATTAATGTATTACGTTGTTTTACAAATAAAAATCAGTAACAGATATAGCCATATGTTTCTGTGATATGAAAGAGAGGAAAATACCTTCACTTTACAAAACACAAACAAATTGAAAAATATTGGTATCTATCGGTTATATACTGATAAATAGAATAATAACACAATTTTCAGAACCGCAGACTTGAAACATAAACAGTTTGGTCTCTCAGAAAAATGGCCAACTACTTTTTTTTGCAGATCCTTCAGAAAATAACATATAACATGTATATATATACACACACACACACACACACATATATATATATATAATAGGTGTGTGTGTGTATAAGTAGAGATTGTAGCCGTATTGGTCCAGTGATGTAGATGTAAAAGCCAGATACAATTTGTATCTTGTAATACCTTTTTTATTGGAATAACATTTTTTTTCATGACAAGCTTTCGGGAGAACCTCCCTTTCTCAAGTCTAAAGCATTTCTGAGCAAGACGACACAAAATTTGAGTTGTGATACAGGGGTTAAAGGGACATGAGTGCAGATAAGACACAGGTTTGTTAGAACATAGACACCATTCTTGCAGAGGGTCATAAACATCTTCTGTAAAGATCACAGAGTGAGGGGAGAGAGAGAGAGAAAAAAAAACAAGCAAACAGTGCAGAGATGGTGCTAGAATGGGAGAGTTAAAAAAATTAAATACTTATATTAAGAATGCATACATTTCCATCCAAGAGTGACAGGATATGCATGAAGGCCTATATTCAGCATACACAGACACACGCGCACACACTCACACTTAAACACATGTTCATATACATATACACAAATAGTGTATGAGTACAAATACATACATACTATACACAAGTACATACTACAATATACATATCAATACAACCAAATGCCTGAATATATGTACATGCACACCTACACATATATCCACACACAAGCACCAATACATGCATACTCTTATGCATGTATGCTTATATATGCGACTGTGCATTTATATTTGTGTATATGAGTTCATTTGCATGTATGTATATGTATTTGCGTGTATGTATAAGTGTTCATGTGCTTATGTGTATGCGTATATATATATATATATATATATATATATATTCAAAAGGATAGCACTGCAAGGACTTATTAAAATGGAACTTTTATTACCTTAAAGATAAAACTGCCAATGTTTCAGCTTAATTCCCTCAATCTTCCGTGTCCTGATGTCCCAAACATCATGGCTATATTTTCCATTAGGCATAGTAGGTGTGACAAAAAATAAATAAATGTATTTTATTCACCCAGTTACTAATACACAATCTGGGAAGAGAGGAAGATGTGCAGCAGGAATGCAGGTGGAAGGAGGAAACATGTTTGCTAATGTTGCGGGAAGACCTGTCTGCCCACACCTTCTATGCCTCCCTGCTCTGTCAGTCACTACATTGGCTTCCCGTAGGACACAGGGATCAATTTCAAATTCTGTTTCTTACTTACAAATTATTCCATGCATCCCACTCTGTCAGTCCTTATACTTTCTTCCTGTACAATATAGGACTCATTTTAAAGTTCTGATACTTGGTTATAAATCTCTATGTAACCCTGCTCCTACCTCACTAAAGCACATGTATGTCCCACCCAGGCCATTATGCTGTGCCCTAAGCCTGCGTAAATCTTCTATTCATACTTGAATTTCTGACACCCACCTTCAAGACTTCTTTAGGGGGGAAATTGTTTTTGTTTTTTATAAATAATTCTTTATTTGAATTTTGTCACACAAAAAGTACAAAATACATATAACATTAACGTACAAAGACTTAACATTTACTCATACATAGTACATTCTACCTGTGTGAAAAGGGGGGCTACGCAGGGAAGAGCAATTCCTTTATTTTCTCTATATGGCTTATCTAATTCTGAAGTTAATGTTTTACTCAGATTTTATTAAATGCCAACATTTTATCAAGACATTCCTCTCTTATCATTTTATTCCTGACCGAATAATTATTTCTCCAGCAAACACCCAATTCAATCTTTAATTGGAAAGTTAGTTGTTTTGACCATTGATAGTAACTGATTTGTATAGGTAGTTTCCATTCTCTCGCTATGAGAATCTTCACAGCCAGGAAGCTATGTGTAACCTGATAATAATTTGATGCTATTAAATCAGGCCCGTCCATATGCAATAATGCTGTTATCTGACTTTTTTCAATTTTAATCTTGTCCCTATCATAAAGTATTCTATAGACCTGATCCCATATAGTTTTGACTTTTGGGCAACTCCGCCATTTGTGAAGATAACTTCCAACTGCCTCCTATCATCTCCAACATACATTTGAAACACTAGTGTCCATTTTGTTTAATCTGGTCGGAACCAAGTACCACTTATAACATAATTTATAATAAGTTTCGATCAAAATTATATTATGGATATTTTTCTTAACTCTAACTAGGGTTTTACCCCAAGCACCAACATCAATGTTAATACTGCACTCCGTTTCCCATTTTTTAAACTGTTTTGTAATGATAATTTGTGACATCGTTCAGGTAAACATATAGCATTTTGATAAAAGTTTTAACGTTTTCATTGGTGCAAAAATTAGTTTTTTATATAGATGGCATTTTTACTTTTTCCGTCTTTAAAATTTTTAGAGACAAGTGATTTAAATCTTAAATAATTAAATGTTTCAGATTTTGGTCAATTATATAGCTGCAAACGTTTTAATTCTTCCCTCTTTCATAACATTATTTACATCTTTAATTTTCTTTTCATTCCACAAGTCTAAGTTTAGATAATCTAGAATGTCCAACTTCATAAAACCATACATTTTCACATTGTTTTTCATCTTTTTTCTTAGTTTAAACCACAGCAGGAAAATTTGGGAGAGGATTTAATTAATTTCTTTCAATATCAGATACCCCTTTTCTTGCCAGACAAGTTTATTTATATCACTTTT